CTCTGCCATAGGGCCACTTCCTCTGCCCTGCAGGCACTGGGAGAGGCCTTCTGAAAGATCCTACAAGCTGTGGGATGTGGCAGCTTTAGCAGATCCCTGCAGGAAGGGAAGTTTCAGTGTCCTCCAGCCAGAGAATTCTTCCTTCAAATCCTGGGAAGGTTTCTCCTGCAGTGAGAGCTCAGTCCCCTCTCAGCCCAGGCTGCCTCTCACCTCTCTGCCTTCTCTGCTGTGCCCTGGGTGCTGCAGGCAGTGCCCTCAGCCCTGCTGGGCTGTGCAGAGGAGCTGCTCAGCAGCAGAGCTGTGTCTTTGAAGCTGTTCTTGGTTGCCAGGAGCTCCCTGTGCCAGGAGCCCGGCCCAGCTCAGCAGAACAGCAACAGCCCCAGGCATTTCATCAGCCTCGGGGGCTTTGGGGATGAGTCCCTGAACATCAGACCCTGAGGAGAGTTGAGGAACCTCTTGAGAAACCAAAGTGAGATTCCAACTGTAAAGTTTCTTGTAGTGTTAATGGGTCCCAGTGAGGGATCCAACTGAGAAAAGATCTTGTTAGAGCAGAAAGCTGGAAACTGTGATGACAGGTGAGAGAATCACAAAATCATCAAGGTTGGAAGAGACCTTTAATATAGTTTTGTCCAACTGTCAACCAGAACCACTATAACCATTCTTAAACCATATACAGATGCTATCTGAATGCTTCCAGAGACTCAATGACGTTTCTAGGAATCTTTTTCCAGTACCAAAACATTTAGTGAAAATTAATCCAGAGACTCAAGAAGCACTGTTTCTTAAAATGGCACTAAAGCAATCAAAGATTGACAAGAAATATTAAGGTCCCTCAAAGATCCCACTCCAATGGACATGGTTAAGGTGTCTCCCAGTGTAGGATCCAACACGTACAAAAAATCTCTACTAACTGAAATCCTGGCAGTGCAACAACAACAGAAGGAGGCTCCGTGTCACCACTGCTGGAAAATACATTTTAACTGGGGCTGCTCCATCTAATAATACAGGGTTAACAGTTATCCCACAATCAGTGACTGTAGACAACCCTAAGACATTAGGAGTGACTGTAAAAGCTCTATTTCCACCCGTGGAGCCAGACACAGAAACACCCATTGCCAATTTAACCCCCATTGCTGTAGAGGGGGACACGTTGGACTCTGTGCCGATGGTCCAGGGGTCACAGTCCATTTTACTCCATCAGCCAGTGCTGACCTGCAGGGTATTTTTTCCCAACACTCACCAATGTGCTCCAGTTCAAGGTCTTACAGACACAGGAGCAGACATCACGATCTTTGCAGAGAGCGACTGGCCGAAGGAATGGAGCACTACGGAGCCCTGCATCGACATCAAAGGGGTAGGAGGAGCCCAGACACCGCTCCAAAGTGTCTGCACTTTACTGATTGAGGACCAGAAGGTAAAACTGCCTCAGCAAAGCCCTATGTCCTTAATATCCCAATGACACTCTGGGGCAGAGATATGATAGGACAACGGGGAGTCCAACCAACTACCTCAAATTTAGTTTAAAGGCCACTGGTGAGCTGCAATCTCCTGCCCTCACATGGCTCTCTGACCAGCCAATCTGGGTATCCCAGTGGCTCCTAAAGGGAGAGAAATTGCAGCAAATCAGTCTACAAGTACATGAAAAAGTAGGAAAGGGGCATATTGTTCCAACTGATAGTCCCTGGAATTTCCCCATTTTTGCATACAGAAGTCCAATGGAAAGTAGAGACTGCTACGGCATTCAAGAGAACTCAAAAAAAAAAAAATAGGGCCAGTGGGGGCACTCCAGGTAGGACTTCCATCACCAACAATGATACCTTCACAGTGGCCTATTGTTCCTATTGATAGAAAAGATCGTTTCTTTAACATTGCATTAATCCCTAAAGACTCTCATAGGTTGGTGTTTACAGTGCCTTCCATCAACGCAGCAGAACCATCTCAGCGCTATCACTGGACAGTCCTCCCACAAGGAAGGAGGAACAGCCCCTCTGTTTGCCAAAGAGTCGTTGCAGACGTGTTATCCCCAACCCATCGACAGTGTCCCGATACCATCGTATCTCACTCTAGGGACGATCTCTTGCTGGCAGCGCAATCCGAGG